AGCTATGGGTGCATTGTATGGCACCATGATATTGCCATCTACACATTATACCAAGCCACACTGATGCTGCATCATGCCACACGCACTGAACACCCTTCTTCCCACCTCCTGCACCCACTTCTTCACTAGCATTGGCCCAGTGAAGCACATGTTGCAAAGCACGTGCTACGACCGAGCTGTGCTGCTCTTCCTGCAGTGACATGTTCCTAGGCGACTCAAAATGCCTTTCTTTCAAACATACCCCTTGCACCCGCTTCCTTGCCAGCTTTGGCCCAGTGATCTGTTTTGGAGCACGCGCTACGACCGCGCCATGCTGCTCTTCCTGCAGTGCCTCAAGGAGTTTGCAGACTTTGCCAACGCCCATGACCGTGCCAACCACCTCCCGCCCGAAAAGTCCTTCCAACTGCCCTACAAGTGAGCGCTCTGCAGTTGAGCCTTTATGCATGTATGGGTGTTTGTTCACCCACTGTCTGGTGTAAACTTGTAGGTGCAACGCCAAGTACCCACTCAGGTGCTTGTTGACTCTATACTCTTATTGGCATCTCCTGTTGATGCACCATCTTTGGTCCCGTCACCTTGTCACAGGATCGAGGGTGACAAGATCCAAGGGCTGACAGTGAAGCAGAGCTTCAACCGCGATGAGCGGTGGACCAAGGCGCTCAAGTACCTGCTGTGTGACCTCAAGTGGGCGCTCGTGTGGACCATGAACAACTTCCACCCGCCCCTCCCCACCCCGCCCCCTGCCATCATCAACCTGGCTTCGCAAATAGAGCCTCTCAGCCTTGCCTTTGCTGGAACGAGAGCCATGTGAGACAACACTATGTATGTGCAACTTTGGGCACATGGTAAGTGAACATTTGGAAGTTGGTTGGACAAAACTGTACATAAATGTAGCTTGTTACGATAGTGGTTTTTTACAGCAGTTTCATATTATGGACCTCAAATTTCCTCCACGGAAATGTACTATCGATTATTTCAGTGACAAACGACGAAGACATTCCGGGCCAATTCAAGTAATACCTCGTGATTATGATACGTTGGAGACAAGTACTGCACAAGTATAGATAGTGATTGTAGTGAAGTGGTTCTTCGAGTTCCAACGTTGATCCCCAACCTCGAGGCCTTATTGGTAGGGCCGACTACACGTCATCCTTCTGGGACTCTGGGGACCACAGCAGTATGCTCGTCCGTTAGATTGCTTGGAGGATTACGAGATGTATACCACGTGCCCTTAAGAGGTTCAGTCTTCAATTCTCCTCTGCACGGCCCACCCCTCTGCCTGTGGATCACAAGCTCTTTGCTCCTGTTCCGGCTGAGCCGGTAGAGGTTAATGGTCCATAATGTAAGCAGAGCTGGAGGGTTGCCTCATGTACCTGATGACCTGCACTCGATCAGATCTAGCATACCCTCTCAGTCTCCTTGCTTGCTTTTTGGCGACAGGCAGGCACTGACCAGTCCATAGGTCTGCTGCCAAAAGGGTATTACGGTATCTGGTGAGTACATCAAGTTTGGGGCTTGTGCTAGGAGGACGGGAGCCAGTGGTACTCATTGGACACACAGACGTGTTGTGGGCTGACGACTTAAAGACGCTCAGGTCGTCTCAGAGCTACTGTTTTAGTCTTGGTGCTGGTGCTGTCTTGTGGAGGTCCACTAGGTCGTCGTCTATAGCTCAGTCCAGTTGTGAGGCAGAGATCTACGCTCGGGCCATGGCCACTCGGGAGCTCCACTGGCTCTCGTTCTTGCTCACTCACTTAGGTGAGCTACCTAGGTTTGCCCTGGTCCTGTTTCTGACAACAGGGCTATGATCCTCCTGTGTCAGGAGGCTTGACTTGAGGGCAGGGCGAAGCACATCTAGCTGCGGTACTTCCTGCGACGTGAGTTGGAGCAGCGCGGCACTGGGATAGCATTATCGAACCACTTCTCTCTCTAAGAAGGGTACTAGGGAGGCTTTCCCTGGGGAAGGTGGATATATCGAGCCTAACCCTCCTGATGATATCTCTTCTTGTCCCAGTGATTAGGACTGGTTACTTTATGACTATATGGAGCCTGTTGGGCTGAGAAAAAGCCTTAGACCTTTTCAGAGACTAAGTCCCACTTGTACAAAACGCTAGAGTAGTGCAGCGGAAGTGTTGAGTAGTTGAACCCTTGCACTAGTATGTGGGAACAAGTGATTGATTAAAAGAAACAAGCATACAGCAATATAAGAAATGAAGCAGTTGTAGAATACAGTTGAAGGAACAGTTATTGAAACGCACAGCGACTCGATTGTCGGTTCGGTTACCACCCTTGCAGTCGCAACGGTCAATCGCAACCTCCGGTTGCAACCCTTAGAGTCCCTTCGCCCCTTCGTATTCTTTCGTCCAACCTCCTCGTGTAACCTCCGTTGACTCGCGTACCCGATACGACTTTCCTCGAGTGTAGTGTTACACTTCAGAAACGCTCAAGTCTTCGAGGTATTTCCAACACTCCCCTTCGTTTTTGGAGTGCTGACGTGTCCGGATTCGGTGACGCTTATCTGTCCGGTCAGCAGCATGCAGAGCCTGCGATAGAGTCGTTGGCTCGCGCGGCGACGGCAGCAGCGGGCTCTGGATGGCGACCCATAGTCCAAGTATCTGCAGGTCCGTGGGTGTGTGTCGAGGGGAATTTTCATTCCCGGGATAAGCTGCTTCGTTGCCATCTTCGGGGTCAGGTAAGAAATTTGGTCCTATTCGTTCAGAGACATTTGTGTCAACCGGTTGAGGTGTAGAGTAGCCCTGGTCAGCGAAGTGGTAGTAGGTGTCGAGGTTGTTACTATCGAGAGGGTTGTCGTCGTCGAGGGGAACGGGCACGGAGCAGTAAGGGAGTGGTCCGGCAGCTTCCGAGGCTTCAGGAACGTCTTCTTCTGCTGCGTCAGCTTCGGCAGCATGATCGGCGAAGGACCGATGGCCCTCGAAGCCGTCGGTGGGGTCTGTGGTGTTGGCGACGTTGTCCAGGTAATGCTGCAGCTTCAGTCTCTCGTAGAAAATCACATCACGTGAGGCCACGGTGTTTTTGTCCTGGATGTCGAGAATTTTCCATGCGTGAAAATGTTTTGCGATGCCGAGGTGTAGTCCCCACCGTGCTCGTTGAGAAAATCGTCCTGCTCGAGCTGTGTGGGGTCTGTACTGTACCATGCAGCAAAAAAATTGAAGTAATTTTGTGCTGCCCAGTTTTCCTGTCCACAGCAGGTGCGGTGATGCGCTGTTGGGAAGTGTTGACGAGGACAGCAAGTTGTGGAGATGGACTGCATGCGTCATCGCGTCAGGCCAAAGGGTGTTGGGCAGTCCCATCCCCAGGAGCAGCTTCCGCATCGTCGTCTGCAAGGTGCGATTCGTCCTCTCTACGACCCCCTGCTGCTGGTGAGCGTAGGGCAGGGACACCAGGCGTTTGATGCCTCTTTTCGCCAAGTAGCTCCTGAACCTTTGTGACTGATACTCCAGTGCCCCGTCTGACTGGAAACTCTTGAGTTGGGAGCCCGATTCTCGTTCAGCGATGGGGAGCCACGCCGTGAAAGCTTCGAACGCTTGGGCACGAGTCTTGAGGTTGAAGTGCCAGACGTACCGTGTTGCTGCATCGATGAACATGATAACGTAGTTGTACTCTGCTTCACTGTCGTCTCGAGGGATATTCAAAATATCGATGTAAACATTTTCCATCGGTGCGTATGCAGGTGTGCTTGGATTGTGATGCGACGGGAAAGATTGATGTGGAAGATCAGCTTCGGGGCACGTGAAGCATCGTGCGCGGGGTCGTCGAAGCTCCTGGCCGCTCGGTGTGAGGAGAGCGTCTTTTTCTAATACTCCGGCTTGTATGGTTTGAAGGATTGTGCTGTTTCCAGGGTGTCCGAGGCGTTGATGCCAGATGTCGTCGGGAGCGCGATGGCCGGGTGAATGCCGGTACAGGTCGGCGTTGGAGAAGAACGCAACGACCGTAGCGGGACTGCGGCAGACTCCTCGGGTGATGGGCATGAGCTAATCTGCTTCAGTTGGCGGTCCTCGGATTGCTGGTGATGGCGCACGGCTGGGTCTTGCTGCTGCTACTACAGGTGATGTCGGGGAAGGGATACTTGCTGGTACTTGTCGTTCTTGTCGAATGACTGCTAATGCTCGTGTTCTCTCTGCTGCAGGGATGGTGTTGGAGTACCAGAACGTGCTTGGACTAAATTCGGGGTCAAGATCGGGCGGGTGCGTCCAGGCGGCGAACGACACGATGGCGTCGTTGTCGGCAGTACCGCAGTCGGGGACGAAGTGCAGCACCCTTGGCAGTGGTAGAGGAACGACTCGGCGGATTTGCTTGAGTGGAGGCGGCTAGCGGGTCTGCTGGACGAGAAACTCGAGGGCGTGTGCAGTTGACCTTGGAGAGCCCGGATGTCTGACAGTTGTGGCAGAACGGTGGCAAGATGGTGAGGCCTCTGGTGTTGTGTTGGTTATGGTTGTTGTTGTTTCTTCTTTGAGTGTAGAAGACTAACGGTTGCTGCTTGCTTCGTGGTTGTCTTTCTTCAAACAGGCCCATCTCCTGTTGTTCAGCATGAAGCTCGGCGCAGAGGTGCATCTCGGAAATTCGTCCGTGGGCGCGAAGAAGCGAGCGGGTGGTTCTCCATTGTGGTCCGAGCCCGGCGAGAACAAGTGTGACGAAGGGGTCACCATTCCTGGTACTCTTCCTGTTGTTTCTTGAGCAGCGCCGGTCTCGGTTTGTAGTCCTGAGGTGTGTAGTCCAGAGGTGCCGGGTTGAGTGGCTTGGGCGCTGGGTGAGCCCGTAGAAGACCTTTTGCCCTTGTTGTCCATGTCTTGTAGTCGATGAAGCTTTTGATTTGTTGACTGTAGATAGAATGTTGTCGATGGGAGTTTGGTCTCTGACCAGCTCTCATACCATGTTGGGTTGAGAAAAAGCCTTAGAACCTTTTCAGAGACTAAGTCCCACTTGTACAAAACGCTTGAGTAGTGCAGCGGAAATGTTGAGTAGTTGAACCCTTGCACTAGTATGTGAGAGCAAGTGATTGATTAAAAGAAACAAGCATACAGCAATATAAGAAATGAAGCAGTTGTAGAATACAGTTGAAGGAACAGTTATCGAGTCGCACAGCGACTAGATTGTCGGTTCGGTTACCACCCTTGCAGTCGTAACGGTCAATCGCAACCTCCGGTTGCGACCCTTCGAGTCCCTTCGCCCTTTCGTATTCTTTCGTCCAACCTCCTTGTGTAACCTCCGTTGACTCGTGTACCCGATACGACTTTCCTCGAGTGTAGTGTTACACTTCAGAAACGCTTAAGTCTTCGAGGTATTTCCAACAGAGCCTAACTCTCCTGAGGACATCCCTTCTTGTCCCACTTGTTAGGATTGGTGACTTAATGACATTCTGAATATACTGCTTTCCTTCACCTAGGGGCGTGCCGGATTACAGGACTATTTCAAAGAAGGGGCATGCGTGGCAGTGCGCCAGGAGGGCGGCCATGCCGGGGCACCTGTCGAGGGTGAACGAGGGCAGCGCATGGCACCCCACCGCATGCTGCCACGTCACCTCCTGCAGGCGCTGCGCGAGATGCTCCAATGTCACCTGGGCATGATGGTGAGGGCGGCGGGTGGGAGGAGACGACAACGAGACCAACGGCAGTTCATGAGCGCACATACGGCCATGTCCCTCCCTTGCTCCAGGCGCTCTGCCAGAGGAACCAAACTCACCTCAGCACTGATGGGCATTGATGGGCAATGATGGGTAATGATGGGCAATGATGGGCAATGATGGGCAATGATGGGCAATGATGGGCAATGATGGGCAATGATGGGCAATGATGGGCAATGATGGGCAATGATGGGCAATGATGGGCAATGATGGGCAATGATGGGCAATGATGGGTAATGATGGGCATGGATGGGCACATGGAAATGCAGAAAACAGCAGTGCAGATCTTTGAAGCCGTGGTGGCATGCTGACATGGCAAAAACAGGTGCCCAAGAGACGAGAGCGTAAGCAAAAATAAGGAGCACGAGAGGAATAGAGAGGGTGATTTAGATGCAGGTGCCTGGGAGAAGGCGCAGGGAACGGGTACGTGGCTGTGGTTGGAGTCAAACACGTTTCAAGGAGGGGCGAGTGTTGCGGCCTCCCAAGGCAAGGAGAGGTGGCGAGTGGCATACAAGGTTGTCCGTGTGGCATACATGGTCGTGGTCCGTGTGGCATACATGGTCGTGGTCCATGTGCCATACATGGTCGTGGTCCGTGTGGCATACATGGTCGTGGTCCATGTGCCATACATGGTCGTGGTCCGTGTGGCATACATGGTCGTGGTCCGTGTGGCATACATGGTCGTGGTCCATGTGCCATACATGGTCGTGGTCCGTGTGGCATACATGGTCGTGGTCCGTGTGGCATACATGGTCGTGGTCCGTGTGGAGGGAGAAGTGGCCACACGTGCACTCGATGGTGGCGCCGCGCATGCACAGGGGGCGACACTTGCAGAGCGGACAGATGACAGATGCCTCCTGGGAGGGCGGCAGAGGGCAATGCCGCGTGCACGCAGAACCAAGAGAGGGGGGTTGTGAAGATGACGACAGATCCTGGGAACGCGCACGACCCTGGGAGGGCAATGAGAGTGTGAAGGGCAAAAGTTAAGGCGTGCAGGCAGACAGTGAAGAGAAGCATGCAAGCAACACCCAACGATAATCCGAGGCTCCAAGGGACTGCCCTGGGGACATGAGCAGATGCCAGCACACACAAATGAGCAGATACCAGCACACACACATGAGCAGATACCCGCACACACACATGAGCAGATGCCAGCACACACAAATGAGCAGATACCAGCACACACACATGAGCAGATACTCGCACACACACATGAGCAGATGCCAGCACACACACATGAGCAGATACCCGCACACACACATGAGCAGATACCCGCACACACACATGAGCAGATGCCAGCACACACACATGAGCAGATACCAGCACACACACATGAGCAGATACCCGCACACACACATGAGCAGATGCCAGCACACACACATGAGCAGATACCAGCACACACACATGAGCAGATACCCGCACACACACATAAGCAGATGCCAGCACACACACATGAGCAGATGCCAGCACACACACATGCACAGATGCCAGCACACACGCATGCAAATCGAATCTGAGAGCAAAAGCCTACAGGAGGTTAGCGAGCCGTGAAAGGGCCTGCAGGAGTAAAGCAGAAACGCCCTCCGCGCGTGACAACATGCCCGTCACTTGGGAGATGGGAAAGAACCAGCAGGCCTGATGGTGGGCTAGCGCCTAAAACGAGAGTACCTGTTGATACTCCAGTGCCGCCATGATCGCAGCGTCCTCCATAGACTGCTGACATGCCGCCTCCTGCTCCTCCATGCTGGTACGGCCTGGTGGGCGCATGGGTGGCAACACCACTCGCAGCACCCATGCACACGGCATGGACCACCAGCCGAGCGCATCCCATGCACCACACACCACCGAACATCACCACATACCCGCATGCAGCATACAGCACATAACCCCATGCATAACACGCACCACACGCACCTCGAAACATGAGAAACAGACGCCACTTTATCCTCACAGCCGCCACTTCATCCTCACACCACATACCAGAGGGGAGTGTGGGTGGCAGTAGTTTATACTCCTGAGCAACTACGCACACGTGCCATCACACACCTGCCCAGTCGTGGCAGGGCGGCTGGTCACCCCCCTCGTACAGCGCGTGCTGCATGTCGAGCAGCAGCGCCTCGTACTCGCCCGCACTCAGCTCCAACACGCCATCCACGCCCGCCCAACCCCTGCCTCCTCATCACTGTCCCACTCGCCTCGCCCCCTCGCCCCCCTTCCCATCTCCCCTGCCCCTTCCCTGCCATCGTGCATCGCGTCACATGGGTCGCATGGGCCGCATGGGTCGCATGGGTTGCATGGGTCGCATGGGTAACATGCATCCATTCCAAGCTCTCCCCTCTCTGCCCGCATCACCACATTCTCGCCCCTCTCCTGCCCTGACGCCCCTATTTGCTCCATGCCCCCACCACCACCACCGCGGCCATCACACCCGCCATCATCAGGCCCGCAAACGCCATGCAGCCGCTGCAGCTCCCCAAACAGCACCCGCCGCAGCTCTGGCCGCGCCTCTCCCCTCCCTGCGCCCATCCCGCGAGTCACGTCCAACCCCCGCGCCCCTCCCGCCTCCGCAGTGGGCCCAGCAGCCACACTGCTGCAGCCTGCTGGCAGCAGCGCACCCCAATGGCCCGCCGCCCCTTCTCGCTGCCCGCCCTCGTCTATCTGCACCCCGTCCATGCCGTCGTCGCCCTGCGCGCCCCCACCGCATTCACCACCGCCCACTCGCGTGTCCGCCTCACAGCCCGCCACCGCTCGAGCTGCCCCCAGCGGCTGCTGCGCGCCCATGCACGCGCGCGCTGCTGACGCGGCTGGCTGCGAGACGGCGAGTGGCGGCCGGAGGGCGGCGAGGGATGAGGGGGGTGGGGAGGAGGAGGAGGAGGGCTGCGAGAGAGAAGAGGGCGATTGGGAGAGCGAGTGGGAGAGAGACAAGGAGGTCGCGGAGGAGAGGGGATGTGGTTTGGCGAGAGCGCGAGTCTGGGAGGGGAAAGGCGGGTGGAGGGAGGAAGCCGGGGCGGGGAGAGGGTGCACCGAGGGGGAGGAGGAGGGGGGAGCGGAGGCGACCGGGGAGGAGCGCATGTCCCAGAGCAGGCGGTGGCGGTTGGCGCGCACGCGGTTGAGACACATGAGGCGCAGCTGGGGGGGCGAGGGACGGACAGGGGAGGGGCGATTGGAAGGATGAAGGGGCACGGGTAGGGGAAGACGTTGGCAAGAGCAAGAGATGAGCGGACAAGCTAGGGTCGTGAAAGCAGCGGAGCAAGGGCTGAGAGGAGCGAGGGCTGAGAGGAGCGAGGGCTGAGAGGAGCGAGGGCTGAGAGGAGCGAGGGCTGAGAGGAGCGAGGGCTGAGAGGAGCGAGGGCTGAGAGGAGCGAGGGCTGAGAGGAGCGAGGGCTGAGAGGAGCGAGGGCTGAGAGGAGCGAGGGCTGAGAGGAGCGAGGGCTGAGAGGAGCGAGGGCTGAGAGGAGCGAGGGCTGAGAGGAGCGAGGGCTGAGAGGAGCGAGGGCTGAGAGGAGCGAGGGCTGAGAGGAGCGAGGGCTGAGAGGAGCGAGGGCTGAGAGGAGCGAGGGCTGAGAGGAGCGAGGCTGAGAGGAGCGAGGGCTGAGAGGAGCGAGGGCTGAGAGGAGCGAGGGCTGAGAGGAGCGAGGGCTGAGAGGAGCGAGGGCTGAGAGGAGCGAGGGCTGAGAGGAGCGAGGGCTGAGAGGAGCGAGGACTGAGAGGAGCGAGGGCTGAGAGGAGCGAGGGCTGAGAGGAGCGAGGACTGAGAGGAGCGAGGGCTGAGAGGAGCGAGGGCTGAGAGGAGCGAGGGCTGAGAGGAGCGAGGACTGAGAGGAGCGAGGACTGAGAGGAGCGAGGGCTGAGAGGAGCGAGGGCTGAGAGGAGCGAGGGCTGAGAGGAGCGAGGGCTGAGAGGAGCGAGGGCTGAGAGGAGCGAGGGCTGAGAGGAGCGAGGGCTGAGAGGAGCGACTTGGAGCAAAGCGTGTGTCACGCTCGTAGTTGAAAACACGGAGAGGCCATTCGAAGATTATTGAACTTTCAGCGCGATGTTTGTGCTGTAGAAGCGACGCTGCTCGACGACGCTGCTGGACGACGCTGCTCGACGGACCTTATCTTTCATCTGCGACCGCAGAGGTCCCTTGATATGCGTTCTCTCCATGCCCGCTGGAGTTGAAGCCGAAACCGGTGGGACTGAGAAAGCGAACTCGCGGATTATGCGCAGAACAGTGTCAGTCGGGCACGAAAAAGGACCTAGATATTCATACTCGCACCATCGGGGAAGTAAAAGTAAAAGCCCCACAAACTGGTCGAAGTATTCTTGCTATTCCAATCGCTAACTGCATAACAAACATTCCCGCGCGGCCCGTGCAGGATGTTAGGAGTCACGAGGGGGACGAAATACCATCCCACGCAGATAGGTATGGTGGATGGAAGTGATGGGATCTGCGGTGACGCTTGGGGGAGGAGCTTCATGGTGAAGCTGGAAGAATTTGAACTTCGAAACTGCTGAAACATCCGTTGTAGAACTTTGCGTTATCATTTATCTACGTAAAGAAGTGCACGCAAGGCATTTTGGCCTAGATGAAGAAGCTCGTACACATCACAAGAAGTGGGACGAAATAATTCTTGATTTAATGAGATATTTCATAGATAAAGAGTCGCTAATACATGAATTTAAATGGAAAATCTTATGGAGTAGAACTCGTAGAGTGATGAACTTATGCAAACCGTGCGAGAAGGCATGAGCTGGGTGATCAACGCACTGTAACGAAGTTCACGCCCCGCTTTAGCGAGTTCCGAAACACCAAATTAGGTCTGGAACCTCGCAGCTTTTCGCTGGATTCGGCAGATGGTGCAGAACACACCAAGCCACACCGGACACCGAGCCTGCCTCCACCATGTTCGGCCAGCCGATCTGACACTTCCTGCTTTCTGACTTCTTTTGGAGAATGTCGCCTCGGTTCATCTCGGTTTAGTGGGTTTGAGAGAGCCACTGTTCGGATTAGGTGGATCATGCGCAAGCCAGTGGGCCGCAGATGACGCTTCCAACAAGGCCACATGGTCTAACTAGCAGTACGTACGCTGGTTCGAGAGCAACCCTAATTGCAAGTTGTGGTACGAAGTCAGAGCCGTGGCGCGGGGAATGCGAGAGGGGCGGTGGGCGCGCAGCTGAGCAGCGACGGCGTGGTGTGCAGCCAGCGGGGGTGTGTCTCTCACCCACCGCGCATCGGCGTCGTGAGAGTGGCAACTGCAGACTGCTCGTGTAGCAACCCAATGATCATCCGATTTCGTAGCTAATGGCGTTCGGACGTAGCTTCCCAGTCTCTCATCGTCCTAACACGATTGTATATCATTTTCGCACAAGAATTTCTTCGCTCGGCAGCGTCCACGTCAGCATCTAGGGTTGATGGCCGTTCACGATACACATAGCAGCCAGGGGTTTTAAGGGTAAGACTCTCTGCATTCCTCGCTCCCTCCGCCTCCCCCCTTCTCCCGCCATGCCGAGCCAATCCCGGGGGCGGTCCGCCGTCCCATCCCGCGCGGGCGGGCGCGCGGACGGCCAGTGGGAGGGGCACTGGGACCCGCCCGCCTTCCGGCGATGGCTGGTGGGGTTCGCGGCGGTGCGGTTCGATCTGGAGCAGGGGCAGCTGGTGGAGGCGCTGTTCCCCGCGGGCGCGCTGAGCGCGGAGGAGGAGGCGGACGTGGCGTTCTCGTCGTTTCCCGACTCCATGTCCACCGTGCACAACCGTGCCAGCCTCTATGATTGCGTCTTCTTCTTCCGCATCCGCCGCCGCGGCGTGCCCCCTGCGGACAGCGCTGCGGCGAGCAGTAGCGGCGGCGGCGGCGGCGGCGGCGGAGTTGATTGCGGCGGGAGTGGCGGTGGCTGCAGCGACGACAAGGCGGAGGGGGATGGGCGGAGTCCGCTCACCCCGCACTCTCCGCTGCTGCAGCAGCAGCAGGTGCACGTCAGTTTCAGTCGGGGGGCAGCAGGGGGAACAGGGGGAGCAGCGCTGGCGGCCAGTCAGGCGGAGCGGTCCGCCTCGTCCGCGCGGAGGCAGTCCGCGAGCCCGCCGCGGTGGGACCCGGGGACCAATCGCGCGACGACACCTGGCACGACGCCGCGGCGAGGTATCAGCGTGGGGCGGGGCGGGGGCGCGGCGGGCGCGGTGGCGGAGAGCATGAGCGCGCCCGCGTCGTCCCTCACCAGCCCCACCGGGCTCCTCGCTTCCGCCCCCTCCCCCTTCGCGCGCCTGGACAGATGCGCCACTGAGCCGCTCAAGGGGGGCGAGGCGGGGGAGGAGGGGGAAGTACAATGGCGCGCTCAGGCGGAGGCAGGCGCGCTGAGACACTCCGCCAGCGCGAGGGGGAGCGCGGGGCTGGCGCAGGGCGCAGGAAGGGAGGAGGAAGTCGCGGTGTACAGGTCAGCTTCTGTGGGGGCGGGGGGGCGGATGCAGGGGCAGAGTGAAGGGGAGGGCGGAAGAGGGGCAGGGGGAGGGGCGGGGGGAGGAGGAGGCGGAGGCGGAGCATTGGCGGGGGTGCGGAGCGGGCCGCGGTACTTGTACGGGTTTGTGTTCAACCGGCAGCGGCACGACGAGCGCCTGCCGCGGGGCGGCGAGCAGAAATCGGTGGTGGTGCTGTCGGCGCGCCCCTTCTCCTCCGCCTTCCGCCGCCTCGCACAGGTCGTTGGGCCGCTCTACTTCGACCGTGGGCCAATCGCGTTCGTCCAGGTGGCGGCGTGGGTGTCGCTGTGGCCGGCGCCGTACCAAGCGAGCAGCAGCAGCATCGAGACAACCAGCAGCAGCGGCGGTCGGCGCAGCAGTGTGATGGAGCTGCCCGTGGGGCCGCGCACCTCGCTGCGCGTGCAGCTGCCGCCCGCCCACACGCTTCCCCCCGCCTCGCACTCCCCCCTGGACGACTTCACCGCCGCCATGGCGCCCGCCCCTCTCAACACCTCCGCACCGCAGGTGACTCGTGCTCCCCATGCTAATGCCATGCAGTACAGCATGGATCCAGCCTCCCCTTACGGCCCCCCTACTCTCGCCCAGTTCACCCTCCCCTTCCCGTCTCCCCACTCCCACTCCTCCCCGGGGCAGCCCCTCCTCGCCACCCTTGTCCTCGCCACTATCCTCTCCCCCCTCCAGTCCCCTCCCCCGCCTCGCCCCTCCCCCTGGCCATATCTCGTGCTGCCGACACCGCTGGCATGTGCGCCTGCGCCTGCTTCTGAGGCGCCTCACTGAGTTTCAGCAGCCACTCGCCCCACTCCACTTCCCCTTTACCACCCCCCGCCCTCTCCACTTCCCCTTTACCACCCCCCGCCCTCTCCGCTTCCCCTTTACCACCTCCCCGCCCTCTCCGCTTCCCCTTTACCACCCCCCCGCCCTCTCCGCTTCCCCTTGACCACCCCCCCGCCCTCTCCACTTCCCCTTGACCACCCCCCCGCCCTCTCCACTTCCCCTTTACCACCCCCCCGCCCTCTCCACTTCCCCTTTACCACCCCCCCGCCCTCTCCACTTCCCCTTTACCACCCCCCCGCCCTCTCCACTTCCCCTTTACCACCCCCCCGCCCTCTCCGCTTCCCCATGCTCTGCTCTTGCCTCTCCTCCGCGCGGGCATGACTCGTAGCTTTTGGCACCTTCACGGGCGTGTGCTTCTCAGCCGCGTGAAGCACACAGCATCCACGGCGCCTCTTATTCAACTTCCCCTTCGCCATCCGCCCACCTCCCCCTCCCCCACCAGGGCATTTTCCACGACGCGGACGTGTTTGGCATCTTCACGGGGGTGGTGGCGCAGCTGTGGGTGCTGTGGGAGCTGCTGCTCATCGGCGAGCCACTGCTCGTGCTCGCCCCCACGCCCGCGCAGTGCTCCGAGGCCGTGGCGGCGCTCGTGGGGCTCATCGCGCCGCTGCCGTGCTCGCTGGACTTCCGGCCCTACTTCACCATCCACGACCCCGACTTCCCCCTGCTCAACGCGCTGCGCGACGGCGACCCCATCCCGCCCGTGGTGCTGGGCGTGACGAACCTCTTCTTCCTCAAGGCGCTCAAGCACCTCCCCCACGTGCTCTCCATCGGCCGCCCGCCGCACGGTGGCCACGGCGTGGCGGGCGCCGCGCGGTACGGCGTGGGGGCGGGCGGCAGCCTGCAGCCGAACGGGCAGGTGGCAGTGCGGGAGAGCGTGGCGCGGCTGCCCCAGCAGCAGCAGCAGTCGCCGCTGAGACGACTGGCCACCAGCGGCCTGCTGAGGTGAGGGGAGAGGGACAGCAGGAAGGGCTCGAGGGGAGTGTGACAGTGTAAGTAGCAGACGGCAGTGTGAGAGAGCGTTGCTGGACTGCCGCAGAGGCAGCAGGTGTCGCCCCTGAGACCATTGGCCACTAGTGGTGCGCTGACGCGAGGGGAGAATGGCAGCACAGCATCGGGAGCCCCTGTGGACCAACCACGTGCAGGCGGTCTCGCCTCGTTGCTAACACCCGTTTCTCCTCAATCCCGCCCCCATTGTCCCATGCCCTGCCCCCAGTGTGTTTTCAGCGGGCACGAGAGGCGTGGCGCGCATGCGGAGGGAGGGCCCACTCTCGCTCATGGCGGAGCACCGCGAGGCGCTGTGGACCAACCACGTGCCCGCAGTCAAGGCCGACACTGCCGTGCTCAACCGCCTCGTAGACACCTCCACCGCTTTGCACCCCTCCTCCTCCTCCCTCCGCCCCCACCGCTCCGCTTCCTCCGCCTCTGCTGCTGCTGCCTCCCCTGCTGACGTCGGCTCTCTAGCCTCCTCTGCTGCTGCTGCAGGGGTGGCAGCAGGGGCTGGGGGCGGCGGCATCTCGCTCTCGTCCACGCGCCCCGCCTCCGCCTCCGCCCCCTCCTCCGCCGCCTCGTCCTTCTTCAGCCTCCCCGGCGCCGTCGCCGGGTCGCTGCTGGCAGGCGTGGCGGGGGTGACGGGGCTGGACGACTCGCCTGCTGATGGCTCCGCCCCAGGAGGGGCAGCAGCAGCGGGGGCGGCGCGGCAGGCGACGTCGATGGAGACAGTGGCGATGGTGAACAACGAGATCCTCAGAAGGCACTTCATCGAGCTCACCACCAACTTCCTCGCCCCCTTCGGCCCCTTCCTCCGTGCCGCCGCGCCCCCCGAAGACACCTCGCCCTTCTGTGACCCGCCGCCGCTCCTCCCTTTCGACGCCGCGGACTTTCTCGGGCAGCTGGCTGCCCGCGGCCCGGGGAAGTTCCTGGCGAAGAGGCTGCAGGCGGGCAGGTGGCTGGAGGTGTACAGAAGGTTTCTGGAAGGGCCCAACTTCATGCCGTGGTTCCAGCGGCGGCGCGCCGTGGCGGAGGCGGAGCAGCACCGGCTGTGGCGGGCGGCGCGGCTGAGGGCGGACGCGAGGAAGTTTGTGGAGGGCATGGGCGAGGGCGAGCTGATGGAGGCGTTCTCGTGCCTTGCGACGCAGATGGCGGACGAGCGACAGGTGAGGGGCAGAGCGAGAGGCAGGTGTGAGGGAGAGGCAGGCGTGAGGGCGGTGATTCGGGTGGGATGGATTTCGTTGGTACATGTGCGTGCATGGCAAGGTCTTTCACCATCACTCAATGCCCATGCTCCTCTAGACCCACCTCACACCTCTGCACCACCCCCCCCCTGTGTGCACCCATCCACCAGCACAGCAGCGGTCTGTGGCGTCTCTCTTTAGTCGTGCCCCTCACCTCTCTGTGCCCCTCACCTCTCTGTGCCGCCCACCCCTCTGTGCCCCTCACCTCTCTGTGCCCCCCGCCCTTACCCGCACTGTGTCTCCACATCTCCAGGCGTGGCGGCGAGCCGGCGAGCCCCCAGCAGTGGGCAAGCTGAGGGGCGACCTGCGAGTGGTCTTCTCCCACATGCCCCCCGCCATGCAGCACCTGCTGCTGCTCTCCCCCACCCATGCCGCCGCCCTCCAACTGCCGCCCTCCGCCACCCACGCTGCTGATGCCGCTGGGCGGAGTTCTTCGGCCTTTTCCCGAGATTCAGCTGGTGCTGAGTCAGCAGATGCCAGGTGGGGGCAGCGCATGAGTGAGGGGGCGGGGACGGGGAGGGAGGGGGGGGTAGAGCTGCGGAGAGGTGGAGTGAGGGCGGGGGGGGTGAGAGAGGAGGAGGAGGGACAGGGGGGGGGGCTGGGCGGGCTGGTTCTTTGGGCGAAGGCCGGTGGAGGCAGGAAGGGCGGGGAGTGGTGGGGGGGAGAGGGGCAAACAGCAGGGAGTGGCGTGAGGGGGGAGTGGAGGGGGGGAGTGGAGGAACGCAGGGATCAGAAGGTTCTGTTGAGATGGAGCCAGGTGCAGCAGCTTCAGGTGGTCCGTCGGGTGATTCGCCAGGTGCCGTGGGTGGCAGCAGTGGTCAGAGTGGGACGGCGGAGATGGTGGAGGCAGCGCAGCACCTCTCAGCGCTCGTGGCCAATCTCAGCCTGCCACCTGTCATCGCCGTCAACGGCGAGTCAGAGAAGCTGGCCCGAGCCCGGTCCGACGTCTCCAGCCCTCCCCGGGCCTCCGGTGCAGGCTTGGCCCGAACCTCAAGCGGCGCTTCTCCCCGGACAGCTGGGATTAGCTCTGGCGGGGACACGTGGGCAGGAAACAGCAGCAGCAGCACCAGAAGCAGCAGCACGGCCAACCCTATGACCACCACCAGCAGCAGCACGTCGCGGCCCGTGTCGGCGGCCACGAGTCCGCGCTTCGCCTTCTCCCCCGTGGTGCCCTTTGGCCGCCGCCCTGGGCTCTCCGTGGGCCCCACGCCGCCGCGCCTCTCCGCCTCCGCCCCGGGCACGCCCCTGCACCTCGCCCCCGGGGGCTACTACCTCCACACCCGCCCCTCCCACGGCCGCAGCTTCGGACCGAGGCAAGACGGCAGATACGGGAGTGCAGGGCTGGGAGGGGAGAGCGGGGGCGAGCGGGTGAGTGCGACTGCTAGCATGGGGGAGGAGCAGGCGGGGGGAGGGGAGGCGGGGGGAGGGGAGGCGGGGGGGAGAGTGGTGCGCACAGCAACGGAGCCGGCCATGCCCACCGCCTACCACCCCCTGGCCTGACCGCTGGCCTGCTGCTAGCCCCGCCATTGGGGGGGAGAGCCCAAGACTAGCCCGACCCACAGTAGTGCTGGGGGGGGTACATTTATTGGTTTGGAGCTGGCGAGTGGAGCGGAGAGGAGAGTGACCCTGTGGTGCAAGAGGGGTGCACACTGATGGGGATGGTGCGCGCTGGCCAACAGTGATGGGGATGGTGCGCGCTGGCCAACTGTGCGACCCCAGGAGCGGAAGAGGCAGAGCAGAGGCAATGATGCACTTACACACACGCCAGGTTGGCAGTCGGTCGTCGGCCCCATGCGTGGTGGCGGGCGCCACAGCGTGCCTCGGGAGTCAGGAGGCGCTGCCCTGGATGGCATCGAGCCAAGGAGGAGGGAGGGCATTCCTTGTTGCGTGCCTCGTGCATTCGTAGGCGACTAATTTAGCTCCGCGTGGTGAAGTCAATTGCACTGTTTCTATCATGCGGTTGCAACGAAGGTGCCATGCATGCATGCATGCCTTTCTAAAGCCTCCCATGTGCACTCCACCGTAAACGCCCGGATAGAAGACCCCCATGGAATAGAAGACACCATGTCTTGTATTAGGCGTTTATAAGACACACTTTTTAAGTCAGTATGAGACCCAAGTGACGGTACACTCCCTAAAACCTAGGTTAGCACTTTCTGCACACCCAAAAAGGGCTCCGTTTATAAGTTTTTTTTTTCCATTTATAAGAAACCCGGACCCCCTGATTTTTTTCCGTTTATAAGAAACTTCACCACTTTCTTCCTCGGTATATGGTAAGACATAGGGGTCTTCTATCCGGGCGTTTACGGTTGTTTGTTCCTGGCTTGAAGGATGGGAGATAAACCTCGTTTCTCCTTGCCTAACTCTTTTGCAACACCAACACGTGGGGCCCTTGGCATCACATTCAGGGCGCGGTAAACGTAGATCTCTTGGCGTTCGTTTGGCCATCCTAGATTCGGCTACCCGGTAATTTGATTGTGACACATTTCAATCACGATTATGTGTGCAAAACATAAATAAGATTGGCACGTTCCGACCACGGAAATCGACCAGCGTAACACTTGTGATCAACAACCCATGATCCAATGCGTCAAGCCAGGTACCAGTCTGGAGTTGGAGATTGATGCCCGAAACTCGCGAAAATGATTTGCGAGACTGTGCGTTGCCCGATCCCCAACCCAAACATCACCAGATGAAGTTCGCATACGCGCGCCAAAACATTGTAACATCGCTGGTGGTTCGGTTTTGTCAGTGCGCATTGATTTGGCGACGCGCGCACCTGTGCTTCTCTGTGATGTTACAATGTGGGGGTTTCTGCGAAACTCGAAACAAATATTTGCGCATTGTAGTTAACCTGACATCCGAACCTGCCTTCCCTAAAGGACCTGAACATTGCCAACTGAACTACAGAAACCGCGCCCTCAGTTCGGACCCTTCGCAGCCGCTGCCCTGCGAACAACAGCGCATTCGTCGCTAGTTTCCGCGTTACAAGCGGCCGCCTCCAAGGCATCGACCGCCAGCGGCACCTGTTCCGCCACCCCCTCCGCCCTTCGCCGATCTCCTTGACTTCCGCCTTCCCCCATCTCCCTTCCGCCTGACCGCCAGTCAAGCGACGGCCCTCTATCATAGCCGCAATCACAGCGCCATTCCCCCCACCTCTTGTTCTCCGCCAGACCGTTTCCGCCACTATCGATATCTCCGCCGCCATCCCCGCGCCATCGCGCGACACTCGCATTCCCCACCAATCCGCGCCATCGCCCGCCACCCACCACCACCCCCTGCCATCACCGATCTCCCCGCAAGCGCGCGGCGCCATGTCGTTCATGCGCGGCAATCTGCTGCAGAAGGCGCGCCTGCTGATGCGCGGCGGCATCGTGGACACGCCCAAGTGGCTCGACGCGCTCTCCAAGTGAGCGCGCTGGGGGGGAAAGAGGGGGAGTGGGGCCGCGGTGGGGAAAGAGAGGTTCGAGGGGCAAGAGGCTATGCGCCACTCTGCATTGCCATGCACGCTCATGCGGGGCCACGCGGGGCCACGCGGGGCCCGCGGGGCCACGCGCCCTCCTGCCGAAGCGCAGCCGTGTGGCGCGCTCCAGTGGCGGGCTGCCTTACTCCGAGCGGAGGAGTCGAGCCCCACCACCCGCCGCGTCACACGACGGCTGCGCTGCCAGTCAGTGGCGCTCCCAGTCAGTGCCGCTCCCAGTCAGTGGCGCTCCGAGTCATTGGCGCTGCCACTGTTGTCACCAGCAGCAGCACCACCACCACCACGATCCTCGTCGTCGTTTTCGCCGTCATCATCATCATAAACCATCAACATCATCATCATCCTCATCATCATCATCATCATCATCATCATCATCATCATTCATCATCATCATCATCATCATCATCATCATCATCATCATCATCATCATCATCATCATCATCATCATCATCATCATCATCATCATCATCATCATCATCATCATCATCATCATCATCATCATCATCATCATCATCATCATCATCATCATCATCATCATCATCATCATCATCATCATCATCATCATAACCATCAACATCATCATCGTCGGCCTCCCCTCTCTCCCCCACCCTCCTCCCCCCTACCCCTGCTCCGTTCCCCTCTCCCCCTCAGAGTGCCCCCGCAGCCCAAGGCGCGGCGGTGCCCCAAGGCAAGGCGGATCGAGCTGGCGGAGGACCCTCTGGTGGAGTCGTATTATGCCCGGCACCCTGAGGCCAAGCTGCAGGCGTACAGGTGAGGCCTGCTGCAGGCGTATCTCCCACCACATCCACATCCCCGGCCACCCACCCATCTCCCGCCATCCCTCCCCATCTGCGGCTGCCCATGTGCCAGTGCGTGGCGGTCAGCCGCTTCACCTCTCCCTAGCCTCGCATGTTTGACTGCAGACTCCATCCTCCCTCCTGCTTCAACAACCCCACCACCACATCACCCCGATCATCCCATCCCTGCGGTCCCCATCCCCAGCCTGCAGAGCTTTTGACCCGCCAGTGGCGCAGCGTTAGCCCCCTCCACCCCCACCACCCATCGCCCCATCAACCCACCATCCCATCCCCCTGCTTTCTTGCCAACCCCCACCCCCAGGCTGCAGGGCTTTGACCCGCCAGTGGCGCGGCGTTTTGCGTGGCGGCAGCTGGAGCTGATGCAGCAGGGCATGCGAAGCGGCAGGCCAGAGACGCCGTGGAGGTGAGCAAGGTTGAAAAAAACGGCAGGCCGTTTAAAACGGTTTTATTATAAAAAAACGCCGTTTTTTTCATATTGTTTTTTTCCACAATTCCAAAAAAAAACAAAAAAAAACCAGGGACACAAGGGGACAAAATAGACGACTATTGGTGGCTATGGCAAGCATAGTAGGGGTCCTAGCTGAACTAAATAGTCCGCAAAGCTCGCGTCTGCCGCATATTCCTCCTACTACTTATTTCCCCCCTACACTACCTCCTACCCATCCTCCTCCTCATCCACCTACCCCTCCTCCTACCCCTCCTCCTCCCCTACTCATCCTCCTCCTCCTCCTCCTCCTCCTCCTCCTCCTCCTCCTCCTCCTCCTCCTCCTCCTCCTCCTCCTCCTCCTCCTCCTCCTCCTCCTCCTCCTCCTCCTCCTCCTCCTCCTCCTCCTCCTCCTCCCCCGAATCCTCCTTGTCCTCCTCCTCGGCCTCCACTTCCTCTTCCTCCACTTCCTCGTCGTCGTCCTCGTCGTCGTCCTCCTCCTCTTCCGACCCCCCCCCAACCCCTCCCCCCTCTCCCACGCCGAGATCCCATGGTCCGCGGACTTCCTCCTCCTTGTCGTCGTCGTCCTCCTCCTCCCGTGCCCTCTTCCCCTTCCCCTTCCCCTTCCCCTTCCCTTTCCCCGAGCCCTTTTCCTTTCTCGAACGCTTCACGGTGGAGGTCTTCCTCTTCCTCTTCTTCCTCTCGCGGATGCTCCCAAAGGACTCCCAATCGATAGTGCACTCAACCGCTCCCTCCACCTCCTCCTCCTCCTCCACCACCTCCTCCCCCTCCCCCTCTTCCTCTTGGGAGGCGGGTGGTGTGGGGCCAGAGCTCGCCTCTCTGAGCACGCTAGCGCCTAGGTCTTGGTAGAGGCGGTCCCGAGCCGCAACCTTCCTGTCGAAAGCCTTTCTCGAGTGCCGGCTGATCGCCACCACCGTGACGTCAATCAAGGTGGAGGTGTTCAACCGGTTGTGATCTTGACGTTGCACCCGTGCGAACGTCGACCACGCTCGCTCCACCTTGGATACGGTCGTGGGTTGAGATAGCACCTTTACCGCGATCTCTTGCAACGCCCTCACCTCCCCTCCAAAGGTGGTCCACCATTCCGTCTCCGAGAACCGCCCGCTCTCCACAAGGTGGGTGGTGGCCCATCGTGCTTCCAAACTGCCCAAAGTCCCCTCCCCGATATGGTAGTGGAGGAGTGTGCGGCGCTGAATGTCCGGCTCCCACGCCTCTGTCACCCTTTTCACCCCCTTACCAATATCCGAGTCGGTCCTCACCTCCTCGGCAAAGTGGTTAAGGGGGTTGAGGAGCCAACCCACAGCATGGAGCGGGTTGTGGAGTTGGCCGTCCCAACGTGCTGCTATGATCATTTGCACCTTGGTCAAGAACGATGCCTTGTTCTTGGCCAAGAGTAGCCCCGTTCTCTTGATGAAAAATGTGGCTGGGAAAAAAAACGGAGAACAACGGTTTGAGGCGGTTTAGTAAGGGCCGGAAAGGTAGGGGCTGCATATTGTCCTCGACCGTACAAAAAAGGTACGCAACGGAGTATGGCGGTGGGGGATGGGCAAGGACCTGCGGCCTCCGCGGCCTTGTTGGTCTTCATTGTCGCGTCAAGCATCAAGCCATAGATGTGTCCCATGAGGTGAGAACGGGTGTTCACCACCTGAAGCACCTCATACATCGGCATCAACAACTTTTGCACTGCCTCCATCGAGCCCCAAAAAGCCTCGTCTAGGAGAAGGCTTTGAATCCGCTTCCCCTTCTTCGTTTTCACTGCAGGCACCTCTGCCCACTCCTTGCTAATCACCATGCTCTTCAACTGTTTTCTCACCTCCAAGAAACGGCCGACCATAAGGACTTGCGTGCCAAACCGAGTAGCCCCGGGACGGACTAGCTCCAACTCGTTAAAGTCCTCTCGAAAGAGGGTCACGGCGGTGGCGCTAGCCTTCACGAGCATGACTACTTGGTGCGCTTGCTGCAGGACCTTATGCACCACGCTTATCGCCCCAAGATCACCGAGCATCAAGTCGAGGCAATGCGCCGCACAATTGGTGAAGAATACCATGGGGAATCCTTCACCAAGGTCGATCACCGCCCTCTTGTTGTTGCTCGCATTGTCCTTCACCACTTGGACGAACTGAGAGAGGTAACTAGCGACATGAGAGAGGTAAACAGCGACATGAGAGAGGTAAACAGCAACATGAGAGAGGTAACCTGCGACACGAGGGAGGAAACCAGCGACATGAGAACGGTAAAACAGCGATATGAGAGAGGAAAAGAGCGAGATGAGAGAGGTAACCAGCGACATGAGAGAGGTAACAGTGATATGAGGAAGTAAACAGCGACGTGAGAGAGGTAAACAGCGAGATGAGGGAGGCAACCAGTAACATGTGAGAGGTAAACAGTGACATGAGAGAGGCAAATAGCGAGATGAGAGAAGAAACCAGTGACATGTAACAGGTAAGCAGTGATATGAGAGAGGTAACCAGATACATGAGAGAGCAAACCAGCGACATGAGACAGGTAAACAGCGACATGAGAGAGGTAAACACGACACACCAGAGAGGTAAACAGCGACATGAGAGGGATAAAGAGCGGACATGAGAGTGGTACACGGCGAGATGAGAGAGGGAACCAGTGACATGTGAGAGGTTAACAGTGAAATGCGAGAGGTAAATAGCGATATGAGAGAGGAAAAAGCGATATGAGAGGTAACCTGCGACATAGGAGAGGAAAACCAGTGACGTGAAAGAGGTAAACAGCGACATGAGAGAGGTAAACAAACGACATGAGGGAGGTAAACATCGACATGAGAGAGATAAACAGCGAGATGGGAAAGGTAAACAGCGACATGAGAGAGGTAAACAGCGACGAGACAGGTAAACAACGACATGAGAGAGGTAACCAGCAACATGAGAGAGGAAACCAGCGACATGAAAGTTGTAAACAGCGATATGAGAAAGGTAGATAGGGAAATGAGAGAGGTAAACAGCGACATGAGAGAGGTAAACAGCGATACCAGAGAGGTAAACAGCAAATGAGAGGGATAAAGAGCGACATAAGAGAGGTAAACCGCGAGATGAGAGAGGTAACCAGTGACATGAGAGAGGTAAATAGCGACATGAGAGAGGTGAACAGCGACATGAAGGAGGTAACCACCGACATGAGAGACGTAAGCAGCGACACTAGAGAGGTAAACAGCGACATGAGAGAGGTAGACACGGACATGAGAGAGGTAACCAGCGACATGAGAGAGTAAAACGCACCATAAGAGAGGTAAACAGCGGCATGATGACTGCGGTAAGCAGCGATATGAGAGAGGTAACCAGCGACATGAGAGAGGTAAACAGGGATACGACACAGGTAACCAGCAACATTAAAGAAGGAACCAGGGACATGAGAGAGGAAACCAGCGACCTAAGAGAGGTAAGCAGCCACATGAGAGAGGTAACAGGGCGATGAGAAAGGTAAACAGCGACATGAGAGAGGTAAACAGCGACAGGAGAGAGGTAAAGTACGACATGAAGAGGTAAACATGTCCGCGAGAGAGGTAACCAGCGACATGAAAGAGCAAACAATCGACAGGAGAGAGCAAACCAGCGACATGTGAGAGGTAAACAGCGACATGAGAGAGGTAACCAACGACATGAGAGAGGAAACCAGCGACATGAGAGAGGTAATCAGCGACACGAGAGGTAAACAGCGACATGAGAGAGGTAAACAGCAAGATGAGAGAGGTAACCAGTGACATGTGAGAGGTAAACAGTGACACGAGAGAGGTAAACAGTAACATGCGAGAGGTAAACAGGGACATGAGAGAGGTAAACAGCGACATGAGAGAGGTAAACAGGGACATGAGAGAGTAAACAGGGACATGAGAGAGGAAAACAGCGACATGAGAGAGGTAAACAGCGACAGGAGAGAGGTAAAGTACGACATGAGAGAGGTAAACATGTCGCGAGAGAGGTAACCAGCGACATGAAAGAGCAAACAATCGACAGGAGAGAGCAAACCAGCGACATGTGAGAGGTAAACAGCGACATGAGAGAGGTAACCAAACGACATGAGAGAGGAAACCAGCGACATGAGGAGGTAAACAGCGACACCAGAAGAGGTAAACAGCGACATGAGAGAGTAAACAGCAAGATGAGAGAGGTAACAGTGACATGTGAGAGGTAAACAGTGGCATGAGAGAGGTAAAACAGTGACATGAGAGAGGTAAACAGGGACATGAGGGGGAAACAGCGACATGAGAGAGTAAACAGGGACATGAGAGAGGTAAACAGGGACATGAGGGAGGTAAACAGCGACATGAGACATGTAAACTACGACAATGAAGAGAGGTAACCAGCGAGATGAGAGAGGTAACCAAGCGACATCAGAGAAGTAAGCAGCGACATGAGAAAGGTAAACGCGACATGAAAGAGGTAAGCGAC